ATAAGATAATATTATATAATAATAACTCTAACTATAATAGGCAACAACCATAGTGATAAATTTATAATGTATAATATTAAATATATTAAATAATTGATATATTTAACATATAACATTTTCAAAGCGCTGACGCTAATCTCTAGCGCTATTCTTAAACATGTCCGTCGCGGGTGTTACTTCAAAGTCCCACATCGGTGGGATAGGAAAATTGAGAAGTGATGGAAGCCTATAAATAGAGAGGGTGTATGGGCTTCCAACACACAACACAATCCTTCAATCTATATAATTGTGTATTAGATTTTAGGTTGTGAGTGTCAAATATTGGAGAGGGTTTGTAATTTTTCCGTGCAAAAATTACTAGTGAGATTTTATCCCAGAGGGGGTCGTGGAGTAGGTCTTGAGGTGCCGAACCACGTTAAATATTTTGTGTGCTCTTTTTCTTTCCTTTCCATTTGTTTGCAGTAGGGGCCTAACAAGTGGTATCAAAGCCNCTATAAATAGAGAGGGTGTATGGGCTTCCAACACACAACACAATCCTTCAATCTATATAATTGTGTATTAGATTTTAGGTTGTGAGTGTCAAATATTGGAGAGGGTTTGTAATTTTTCCGTGCAAAAATTACTAGTGAGATTTTATCCCAGAGGGGGTCGTGGAGTAGGTCTTGAGGTGCCGAACCACGTTAAATATTTTGTGTGCTCTTTTTCTTTCCTTTCCATTTGTTTGCAGTAGGGGCCTAACAAGTGGTATCAAAGCCAAGGTGATTTGGTAATTATAATTCTTAGTATGCTCTGTGGTTAAAGCTTTGACTGATCTTCCACATCAGAAAAGAATTATTAATTACATAGTTGCAGTCTAGGGTGAAGGAGATAGAGCAAGGAGCAAGAGGAGGGAGTGCCACTTGAGCAGAGGAGGTGGTGGTCTAGTCAGCAGAGGTGGGTCCGTGAGTGCCATGTCAGTACACTACAAGAAAATATCAATATTGCAACGGATATATTGCAACAGACTTTTTTCTGTTGTAGAATTGCGACGGCTTTTTCATTTGCATCGGAATTATTGCGCAACGGACTTGTTTGCAACAGAAGTTTTTTGCAACGATTTTTTTTGCAACAGAAAGTGCTAGTATCCGTTGCAATTTTGGTGGGAGGTTGGCGCCTTTTTACGGAAAAGATCTGCAACAGAGATCTACAACAGTATTTCTGTCGCAGAATGTTTGCTACAGCTTATTAAATGTCTGCAACGGACAAAGCAGTTGCAATAAATAATTAAAGTTTTTTGTACTTTACATTTTTACATCTATATGTTTAACTAAGTGTATATTTATTTTTTTTAATTTTTTTTATGTGTAAATAATAATAATTAAAATTATTAACCCCAATGTATTAAACTAATTTGCGAGAATTTAATTACAAAAAATTATATTATAATTAAAAAACATACAATGGATCGGAGTATTGAAACTAAAAAAAACGTAAATTTGGTTTATATGCACAGAAGTTATATTGATATACATCATAAAAAGTTGGAATATAATGTTAGTTGTTGATTTTAGTGTAATCGGCTATTTTGTATGTTAAATTTGATTTTGTCAAACTAGTTATGAGGTGCGAAGTGCATAATCATTCAACGATATTGCCAATTAATAGCGGGGGTCTGGGGGCGGCAGCCCCCGGTAGCGGGGTTCAAGGGGCAGAGTCCCTGGCCGGGGTCGAGCTGCCGGGACAGCCGAGAAATTTTTTTTTATATTATTTCTTTATGAAAATTTTACAATTTTTTGTGAACAGAGTCCAAACTTTAAAGATTATGATGTATGGGTAAACGTTTAAAATCCACCAAAAAACTAAAATACAAAATGTATAACCCCGTATTAAAAACCAATTAAATTTATACAAAAAAACACCTAAATATGTATATGGAAACGCAATTAAATTAACGAGTAGGAGTTAAATTTAAAGTGTAGAAAAATAAAAAATAAAAAAAAGAAGAGAAACGCTGCATTAAGTCATTTAAGTATTTAACCCTTACGCGACCCACCCAACCCTACCGCATACTCATCGTCAGAGCTCCGCAACTGCCTGTTATCTATCGAGCACGGCTGCCCGGCGATTCAATCAAACGGCCGCTAGAAGTTCTCGATATAGCTCTAAGGTTGAGGTAATCCTATTTGTAGCTTCTAATTGTGTCCTTCAGTATTCTGATTT